GAGAAACTGATATGATATCACGCTGTTAAGACCTGGGAGCAAGATCTCACTAGAGTATGACCTGGGATAAGTCCTCAGTGTCTCAGGGCTTGTGTTTTCCTATTGGCGAAATGGAAATAATTCTATTTAAACTTCCAGACGTGGGCAAGGGCTCTGTCATTTTTGAAGTACTTCATAAATGTAGAATTTATTTTTCCCTATTCCTGATTCTTTAATGAGATAAAAGTGACTGAAGACAAAATTTTTGCCTTTTTGAAGGTGTAATTAAAATGAGTCAAATTGATAAAGCTAAATGTATAAGGTAACTGATTAGTAACCACCACTCAATACTATGAACTCAGAATATTTGTTAAAAGGAAATAAAAGAGCTGAGATTCTAGCTCAGTAGTAAAGGAAGTCCTGGGGTTCAATCCTCAGTGCTGAAAAAAAAGAACAATAATAAAGTTTCAGTAATTCATTAAGTGAGTAAATACACGAAGATTGCAGAGTAGAGGAGCAATGCATGAAAGCTGTCTGGAAGGCATGTGCGGGTTTAGGGTTTATAGTGGTTATAAACTTGGTTGGATAATGTTTAAATACTGCTCATTTCCTAGTAGTTGTGTAACTGTAGGAAGATTAGGTGAGTGACTAAAATGATACCTTTACTTATCTCTAAAATGAGAATGATCCTATTAACTCCTCAGGATTATTCTAATCATTAGGAAAAATTATGTATATAAAGTTTTGATACAGAACTTAGCACAAGGCAAACACTTTAAAAAGAATAATTATGATTATTACTATTATATATCTTATAATTGAATGTAAACACATCATAACTATAATAATAGAGAAAGCGAGAGATTATTGCATTGTTTATATAAACAAGATAGGTATGTGGAATTGTTAGGATCTAATTAAAAAATGAAAGCAAAGATAAAATGAGAAATTTAATGAAGTTGGAATTTCTGAAGGACAGAAAAAAAGCTATAAAAGATTTGGAGGCAGCTATTCAGATGGAGTTGGTCTTATTTATTAGTCTTGCACTCTGCTTTGTTTTTAAAATACAAATTCCTTTCTAGCTTTTATCAGGCAGATGTAAGGTATCTCTGTTGAGACTATTTTATGGTCTTAAGTGACCATCAAGTCAACATGATTAATCACTTGAGTAGGGAAAATGGCTGGCAGTGAAAAATTCTGAGCTTTTCCCTTTGGAGATTTTTTTTGTTACACCCTTAGTTAATAAAAGGTCAAAGAAGAGTGTGAGAAATGACTAGGATGTGCTTGGGATTCCAGGAGAGAGGACACAGTGTCATCATCACTGCCTCTGGAATAAATCTGCACTGATTGTACTTCTGAAGATTATTTATGCTATCTTTTGTAATTCAGAATTTAGTTCTCACCTACCACACAGTAAATTTTGGGGGAATAAGATTAAAGTAATCTCATAGTTTTAAGAGAGTAAGTAGAGATATGGTAAAAATTATTAAATCTAGAAGCTCAGGAAATTTGAACAAAAAAATTTGATGGGCTTAGGTCAGCTGAAGAGAACATTTTTATTTCAAGGAGTAAAACTAGTATACAGTTAGACTAATGTGCTGGTTATACATTTTAAAAGCATAAATTAGCATATTTATTACATACATCTATTAAAACTACTAATATTAAATAATTCACCAAATCTAACTATTATATTACCTACTAATCTTGCAAAAATAGGTTGAAGGTGTCAGAAATGTCAGCAATGTGATAACTTTAGAAACGGTCAAGGGAAAAAAAGAGTTCTAGAAACAAAATGTCTAATAATACTAAAGTGGTGAGGCAGTGGACACCAAGTAATAGTGATCATATGTTTGAGGAATAAATTTATGAACTAGAAGAAGAAAGGAACCTATGGCAATAGTGTAAACCACTTTGGTGGGGATTTAAGACATTGTCTTACTTAATAGATACAACTTCAGAAAATTCATGGGCCTTTTAGAAAAACTGAAGTTAAAATATTTCCAAAGATTCACTTGTGTAGCAGTGGTGTCATGAAGTTTGATTCACAAAAATTTTATTCAAATGGCAAATGCACATTCATTATTAAAATCAAGCAACTTTAGCCAATAGCCTATGTGTTATGGTTTATATCTAGATTTCCCCCAAAACATCATGTAGTCATAGATGGAGCTTTTCATAGGTGGCTGGATCTAGTGTGTGAAGCTGGAATTAAGGATATGATACTTGGATTGATTCATAGTGTGATGCTAGGTTTAAGAGTATTGCACCTTGAGTATAACAAATATCCACCCCTAGAGACAGAAAGATACCTGCAGTGGGTGCTGATTATTGCTTGTTGCATCTGCTGCTTTCTGCCCACCATGAACTCTTTTTCTTCTGTGATGCCCTACAGCATGCCATCTTGCTTTGGAGCTAGCCAACTATGAACTGAAACCTCTACAAAACATGGACCAAAATAAACCTTTCCTTCTCTAACTTTGGGTGTTGGGTACTTTGTCTCCATAATGAGAAACCAACAAAGACTGAATTTGGTACCAGGAGTGGAGCCGCTGCTGTGACCTTTGCTGGCCATGTGTCTCTTCAGCCTTTAGAACTGTCTTGTGGAATTAGTTTGGAAAGGTTTGAAGATGTTACCTGAAGCAGCAGCCCTGGAATCCCTTAAACTGTGTTTGATGGGAGAGTCTGGTAAGTGCTCAGAAGGCCAGAAGGCTTATAGAAATTCTGCTGATAAAGGCCAGGCTGCTAGGAAGAGGACTGCATTGGATGTTGGACTCTAGTTCATGTATGTTCCACTATCCTAGACAATCTGTTTGCATTTTGCTCTTGTCCAGACAATTTGCCTGAGGCTGAGATTAAGAACAGAAGACTAATAAATCTAATTTTAAGGCAGTCTAATGTTCAGGCATTGGTATAGTTACTGTTGGGGGTATTTGGCCAGATTTGTGTTAAGGATAAGATCAAGAGCAAGGAACTAAGCAGAATATTTAAAACATTTTGAGTTTGACTAGAAAGGAAGCTACAGTAAAGCTGTAGAGTATAAAGATAGAGCAGATTAGAAGTTGGTCGCTGTGAAGGGAGAGGACAATGAAAAATATGGCCTGAAGATATCACAAGAAACAGGAGGAATCCTTCTTTTGCAGCCTTGGGATTGCAAAGGTGAAAGAATTTGTTTTGAGTAGAGAGCCCCAGAATACCATGTTCCAGAATGGTAGTTCCTCAGGATTGGGTTCAGAGCTCTCAGTAATCTAGGCACTTGATCAATACAACCAACAGAAAGAAATCTGGTTTCTGCTCCAGCTGGTAGTGGACCTTGGCATTATCCACAAGGGGCTTGCTTTGGATACATTCAAAATTCAAGAGTTGGGGTTAGGAAGGCTTCCATCTAGATTTCAGAAGAAGGTGTGAGAGGCCAGGCAATGTGCCCCTAGAGGGCAGTGTGTGAAGCTGTGATGCCAAAGGTGAAGCAGAGTCTCCAGAAGGTTGGAGAAGCCAGGAATATGGGTCATCTGAATAAAGCTGTGAGGAGTGATCAAAGCTGGCTGAAGAAAGAGGGAACTACAACCATCTTCAATGCCATAGGGGTGGAGCCACCCAAGCTCTTTGCAGTTCGTATTTTACCACACACATCCTTGGATGTTAGATATGAAACTACAGAACTTAATGTTTGCTCCGTTGGATTTTGGACTTACTTTGGTCTCATTCCTTTCTGTCCCTCTATTTGTACCTTTTAGAATGGAAATGTCTATCTTGTGCCATTGTATGTTGGAAGTTTTTTGACTTTTGTTTCATTTGTGCAGCCTTAAATCTCACAGGAGACTTTGGACTTGGACTTTTCAGCAATGCTGAAATCAGCAGAGTTTGGCAACTCTTAGAGATGGACTAAATGCCTTATGCATAAAGGTATGTGTGTAAGTCTTTTGGGGGCCAAGGGCAGAATGTTACAGCATGTGTCTAGATATCTTCCCAAAGCCTCATGCAATCATAGGTAGAGATTTTCAGAGATGGCTGGATCTAGAGTGTGTAATACTGGGATTAAGGATGTGAAGCTTGAATTGATTCAAGGTGTGATGCTAGAATTAAGGGTGCCCTATCTTGGATATAAGTGCTATCTGTACTAAGGGTGGGTAGCCTGTATAGAATATAAGGGATGGAAAGAGGGCTGCTATGGCATTGCTTGTTGTTTGCTGCTTTTGCTGCCTTCTGCCTGCCATGAACTTTTTCTCCTCTCACCTGCTACCCTGCTTTGGAGCCAGTCGACTACGGTCTGAAGCCTCTACAAACCATGTGCCAAAATAAACCCTTCCTCCTTCAACTTCTGGTGTTAGGTATTTTGTCTCCGCATCAAGAAATTTAACTAAGATGGTATGTCAAAATTAAAATAGCGAAACATTTTATGAATGCCTTTATCATTTATGAGTGTCTATTTGAATTGCTGAATTCACACATCTGACAGTGAACTTTACATGTTCCAGGACTTGAAAGCAGGCTTCACCAGCATGATGACTCAGACACATTTGTAAGTAACAGAATCGTTGAAAGACAATTTTTCCCCTGATTTTCATTGTTAGAGAAGTGATTTCCATTTTATGATCCTATCACATTACTTTCACCCTTTTTACCTTCTATTTTAAGTGAAACAAAACATTGATTCCTTTATCAGCAGAGACATACATATCCTTGGAATAAGAGAAATTCTTGCCTCATGATCCTGCAGTAATTTGACATGATACATTTTAGAGAATGGACTGTTGGGACTCAGAGTCCTACATGTACTTAGATACTAATATTTCTATTCACACAAGTTTTTAACTTAAAATATAAAAAAGAATATGAATTCTATGGTATATTAATGGGAAGTATTTGAACTAACATCCCCAAAGACTTTCTATTTGAATTAGGTAAAAAACATCCCAGTGACACACCTTTTGCATGCAGGGACTTTGTCCCTTGCCAGGACTGCTTGTCACCAATTCACATCATTTCTCTAAGGATAGTCAAGCAGCCAAACCTGCACTAACCATGATGGGTTGTTCCGGAGCATGTTGACATACAACCCGATGAGCACATGTTCATCAGCTAGCCTGTCTGCCACATTTAGGCTGTACTGTATCCTACAATGGGGTAGGAGGAAAGAAAGGTGGTAAGAAAGTGGCCAGAAAGAAGTAGAGGAAGTAGGAGTAAGTTTGTGGAAGAAAATGCATGTAGAAAACCAAACCAATAAAGAAAGTATAAGTGAAGTGCTAGAAAAACACAAGCAAAATCCAAGCAAAATCACAACTTCATTTCACTAGCTTTAAACATAAACACTTCTGTTTAGGCAGAAAAACTTTTTGAAAATGACTTTGCATTCTTCAACCACTGAGGTCACAGAATTCATCTGTACTACAAAAGGTTGCAAGCAAAGATTAAGCATCTAGGAAAATCAAATCATGAGATTAGTCATTTAAAAGAAAAAGAAAAAGGAAATTAAGGAAAGTGAATAACAACACAAATGTGTCCACTTGAGATAACTACTTGGTGCTGTTAATTGGGTTATGGTAGTTACTAAGTCAGAGATAGTTTTTCACACGTGGTAGTTTTGATGAAAGCAACTACATGTTTAGTTTAGTTAATTCAGGGTTCCAGTACACTCTGGTTTTAACTTACCCTTTGCCCTTCAGAAAAGCTGGAGCTGCCCTAGCCAGCATTTTGTTCTGCTCTACTTCACTGTCCTTGGGAGGAGAGCTAGTTAATAAGATGGGAAAGCCAAGAAGAGCTTAAACATGACAACGGATTTGAGAATACAAACTGGCAACAGAAACTCCAAGTCTATCTCCAAATTCTATTTGGCAAGATCTCTTATTATTTTGAAATGCACAGGATGCTTTCAGATTTCTACAGAATCCAAAGAGGAGTAAAAACTTGGCCTGAGAATCATAGTTACAATTCCACAAGTTCGTTTAACCCTAGATTTGATTCCTGCAGTTTGTTTAATGAGCAAGCATCTCCATGGTGCATAAGTCTAGACATCATGAAAATTCTCTCACCATTCAGCACAATGTGTTGTATAAACAGTCCAGTAGGTCACTAAGTCCTGTCAGATTTTAGATCCCACTTAAGGAGTTTATTTCTCAACCTTCCCTGTATCTCCAAGTGTGTTGAATAGAGACTTGAAAATTACCTGCTGATGGCTGCTGCAGTGGAAATGTTCTTTACTCTACATGCAAGTCACCTGAACTTGGCTGTGACACTATAAAGAAAGCTTTCAGAGAAACAGAAATACTCATATTTCTTATGTCAATATTAGTGCATAATTAGTGAATAGAGTTCTATCACTAAAATAATTCTTAACCTTTTAGGTTCATTATGAGGAATATACATTTGAGTTAGTAATTTAAATGATAATTTTAAGGTTTAAATATGGTTTTTATTAAAATATAAATAGAAATATAAGTGGTGCTTAATTATGTGTGGCCATGTCCAAGTTACCCAGGATCTACTGTGATGAGTAGGGATGCTTTGCTGCAAGACATGGTATTAAATTGTGGTTTTAATTGAATTGGTTATGTGTTTTTTCTTCAGAATTTCCTCCTTTGCATGTTAAGAATTTGCCCTACACATTAGTGAACTTAAAACTATCCCATCTCTTTATAAAATACACAAAAATAAAACATTCACTTTAAATACCAAGTATTTAACTACTGAGATCTAAATTATGATGTTTTGCCACAATATCCAAGAAAGTTTAAGTCATATATATATATCTAGATATATCTGGGTGTCTTGGTAGACCTATTAAATAGTGAAAATCTTATAAAATTTTTAACTAAAATTTTAAGTTTGTATTGTGAGGCAGTATGACTCAGGCTGAAATACTAAAGCAAACTTATGAATGAATATTACGTCACAGCTGTGCATGTTGTAATTAGAATTCTTGTTTTGTAATATGATATACTAAAGATTCCTTAAATAGTGAAGTCTCTGGTAAATTTAGGTCAGATTTTATTTATAAGGAAAATGTCTAGGATAGACATTGTTGAACGTATGACATTTTCATTCAGCTCTTTACAAAGAATCTATTACAGAAAGAATTACAGTATTTAAAGAGTACTAACTGTACATAAAATTGACTTTAAAAATAGATCACAGTATGAGGTACATGTAATGTTTTGAGGAATGTATATGTTATATAATTATTAAGTTAGTTAGCATATCCATCATCTCACATACTTTCATGGTAATATTTAAAATCTATTCTTTCAACATTTTTGAAATATACAGTATATTATTAACTGTAGTCAACATGCCTAGCAATAGAATACCACAATTTGAAAACAAAAAATTAATGTTCTAGGAGAATTTAATTTCCTGATACATTAAATTATTTTCAGTATATTGATCTTTATCTTCTAAGGCTGTAAAACCTGGCCATCAGGGTCAATAACCACCTTATCCCTTTAATGTTGATGTTTTCTGACACATTCTGTTATCCCAGCGCTTCAAATTGTCTACTCAAACTAGTCTGTCTGTGTTCACTTCTCCAGTAACTACAGGCTCCCTGCTGCCCAAGATCCTTACCTACTACTTTTTATTTTTTTAAAACTTTAACCTAAGGCAGATGTAGCTACTGTGTAATTGGTCTTAGATGCCTTGGAAATGTATGGATGATTTTCCCTCCCAAACTAAATAGCTCCCTGCTTTGTTATACTTGCTTCATCTTCGAATTCCAGGAAATTTTTGTTAAACCAAAAGCCTGATGATTTCACAAGTATGTCCACGAATGCTGAATATGAAAGATGAAAAGAAAGAAGCAGAGTGGCGCATGCCTGTAATCCCAGCACCCTGAAAAACTGAGGCAGGAATTGCAAGTTTGAGCCTAGCTTGGGCAGTTTAGCATCTTACTGAAATCCTGTCTCAAAGTGAAAGATTAAAAAAAAGAGGATGTAGCTCAATGTAAGGGCCCTGGTTCAATGTGCAGGATGCTAGTGGGTATGGCAAAGCGACACAGAAAAAAAACACACAAAAAATCAAGAGTGATAATGCATTTTGCTACAAATTATCCTAGTGATGCTTTTTGGGAGGAAATGAGCAGGTCAATAAAATATGTCCCTATCACTGTGTCACTCCACAAGCACGGAGGAGACCACTGACGTCAGTGTCACATAGCAACAAGTTTCAAGAAGAGGCGGATTGGCTAGATTTCCTTGGGGGCCTCATTTTTTATTCCCTTCAATTCTTTGGGCTCTCCTCCTCTCTGTTTCTTTTTTCTTTTCTCTAGGACCCTTCCTCTCTCAAATGGCTGTACATTTCCTGTTATTTTCTTTGCATTGATCTTTGCCAGTGTTGGTTTCATGGAATCGTTTAAATTCTTTTATTTTCCTTTTCCTTATACACAAATTCTTGGAAAAATCAGTTCTTAGAAAATATAAAGTTATATCACACACATTATGAGCCTGTGGAAATAAATTATTGTTTTGCTGTAGCTCTTGGTTTCTAGTGCCAAGAATATTTCTGACTTTTCACATTCACTCTTAACATACTTTCTATATTTCTTTGTACTAACTTTAAATTCTTCTTATCATTTCCTTCTGGATAGCCAAGGATATGACCATTCATAGAGGTAGCCAAGTGCATGACAAAAGCAAAAAACAGCCACTCTCAAAATGACATGGTGCCAAAGACTTAGAGAGTTGGCTGGGAGGTCGGTTTCACTTTAAACACGAGTCTTTAAGGATGTTTCGTACAGTGGCCTTTCCACTAAAATTTCATCTGCAGCTCCAAAAGATTTTGGAGAAGGAAAGAAAAGTGAACAACTTTTACTCCTATATTATTGTGAAGACACTGATAATATATAGTTTATTATGATGTGTTCAAAGCGATGTATTCTCACACCATTCTATCTTGTAGTTTAGGAGTTTGCATGGAGAAATGAAGTGATATTTCAGAAGGCGTAGGGGCCAGGTACATAGAACTTACTTCCCTACTCTGGAATGAGTGCTTCCAGCTTATCACTGTGTCACAGTCAACACTGCCTTTCATACACCGTTAGCTAGAGCTCAAAAAATAAACAGATTCTTCCCATTAACTCTGAAACTGGAGCCTGCTTAGAGCTCCCCTTCACGCGGTGGATGCATCTTTGCAAGTAAGACTATCACAACTAAATTGTATTTCTACATTTCTCACTTTATTTTCATCAAGGCCTTGTCAAGGTATAAATACATCTCCTGCAAACATATTATCATTGTCGGAAGCCCTGGAGATAGAACAGTAAACGTTGAAGTTTGTGTGTTATGCCAAAAACCCAAAGGTAGGCACAATTCCTTTAAACAATTTTTTCCAAAAAAATTCTCTGTTTCCTCACCCATTCCTTAAAAAAAAACTTCTGGAAAATAATATATCTAATAATAAGCAAGTTTCTTCCAAATTTTTATGCATACACATATATAATGGTACAATGAGTTCTGAGGAGAAAAGCCATTTTCAAAATGTCTCATTTATTTTTAAAAAACTCACTCTTGTTTTGAAGGATGACAGCTGACTCCAGAATTTTTACTTTAGTGGAAATATTTTTGGGGTGTTTGTTCTAATGTAACAGAATTACATGCAAATATTACCTGTATATTTGATTAAATTTGAAATGCATTTTTCAAAAAAACAGTTCTGTTTCTGTTGGTCATTATATTGGCCCTGGTCAAAAATTTTCTTTTATTAAGCCCAATATAAAAGACTGTGATTCAGTTTTAGGAAATAAGAATATTATGTCAACAAATTATGTCATGTAGAATAGTTAATATCACAATGATGAAAAGGAAAACAATACTTCAACCATGGAACATTAAGACATACTTTTATTTCTACTAATTGTTAAATAATTGATTAATTTGTATGGTACATGGACTTGTGAAGAATAACTTATAAAGTTGGTACTTAAGTAATTTTTAATTGTGAATTAAAATTCTGCATCTTGCTATAGTTTACCTGGTCTAGTAATAAGACCATCAAGCTAATTTACAGTAAAGGAATCCATGAATCAGTCTTGTCTAGGGATAATTTTCTGAGACATTTTCTCTTTTTTTGTCTAAGGTTCAATAGCTTAATCTGAAATATAAACTATTTGTTATATGCAAATCAGCAAACACACATAAGAAATAGGATAGTGTCTCATAAGGAAAATTAGCTACCCCTCTATGCAGACTGGTATAAAGGCTGAACCATTTTGAGCAGGTACATGGGAGAAATAATTCTCAGGTCCTGTTTGATTCATTCTATTTACTATATTATTCCTCAATGTTATCAAGCCATACCAATTGTATTTTTGGGTACACAATATGCTCAAAAACTGACTAAAGCATTCTAGCTAAAGTAGAAAGGTTAATGAAGTGAAGAAACAAGGTGACCATGGTTTTAACCGTGAGTCACTAACAGGTTAATATAGGAAATTGTTAGAATTGGGCATGAAGACCAGGTTAATTCAGATTTGAAAAAAGTCTAACATAAAAATGGAGCTATACAGATATATGAAATAAAAAATTACCCACATGGGTGATTTTTCAAATTTCATGTAATTTTGCACAGCATGCCAGGCAGTGTGAAAAAACTGAGGGAATCTTTAGGGTGTGTCAGATGTTGATCTGGGGTGTTTGTTCTAATGTAACAGAATTACATGCAACTATTGCCTGGATCTTTGCTTAAATCCGAAATGTATTCTTCACAAAAACCATTTCTGCTTCTGTTAAATTGTTCTGAAAAATGCTTCTGATATTGTATCTGTTTTTATGACTGAAATTGGTGGGATTTAATTTTAAGAGAAAAAATTAGCTATGGAGAAAACTTTGGAAGTCAAAGGTAAATTCAGTGTCTTAATTTTATTTCTAGTCACTTTTGATAATCAAATCACAAATGTTTAAAATATAGTTTCAACACTTAGGGCCAGATTTAAAGTGAGTTGTTAGGTAGTATCTTCAAGTAAAAATATTTGAAAAAAATGAAAAAAATGAAAAAGACACAATAAATTAATCTTTCTTTGGTTGAAAAAAATCAATCAACCAAATGACAAACACGTCAACCAACAAAAATAACCCAAAAATGTTGTTTCATTGGGAAGAATTAATATCTGGGAAGTGCCTGGGGTGAGTCCTTCCCATAAGTATCATGGAACCTAGAACAGTGTCAGTACAATCTACTTTAACAAAACAGAAAAGAGCATATGTAGTAGGCTGTATTCAACACATTGTATAAATTCTAAGAAATTTTTTAGTATTTGATAGAGCAACAGGATCTGCAAGGTTTTACATATAACAGCAAAATGATTCTTTCTGTAAGACGTTACTACTTCAGAATTTGCAACAATGAACCTAGCTATGGAACCTCTAAGCAATGTTTCTAAAATTGGAGGCAAAGAAAGTAGCTGTCCGAACCTTCAGCGTTCTTGTTATGGCAAGTGAAGATGGGCCACAATTAAAGAAGCTCACTTAGCAGATCAAAGGACTAGTTACTCTCTCATATAAACTAGGAAAGTATTTTGGGAAGGTAAGTGAGATTTTTACAAAGAAGGCATGATGCCAAAAAAGACAGTCTATCCTCAGAAACATAATGCTGTGGACACTGAAGAGGAGAAAGGGCCTTTTGAGGCTTAGGTGGACAATCTTTGCAATAATATTTGCAATAAGTCTATACTATCTTTTATAAGCTTAGATAATATTGCTGACATGCCATGTTTAGCTTTGGAGCTCTTTTTCTAGAGATGACAGATTTCCATTGATCCAACGATTCTTACCCATAAACTTACAAGCAAACCCTCTAGATTTAAGGATAGGTTTATGGTCAAGAAAATGAATGAAGTTAATTGGTTTATGAATTATGCCATGTGACCTGCATCTTACCTGACTGCTAACCAGCATAGGGTATACACATGTGAATATGTACACAAATGTACCATCCTCCTCACTGACAAAGACATGTACATAGAGATAAGAAGACTTCAAAGGACAAGGAAGAGTGCCTTTGAGAATCCCTTCTCTGAGGTAGTGGAAAAGTGAATCCAGTATATAGCTGGAAAAGAATACAAGGGCAAATTACAGATGGTGGTGGTAACCAGAGGCACACACTCATAAATCTGCGTGAGTTAGCTACCAGGATGTCAAAAGACTTCAAAGATACATCCTGATGCCTTTTGAAGATCAAAGTAGTAGGCTTGTAAAGGACCCTGGGGGCCTAATGCCAGGAGTTTGTTGTGAGGATTTCAGTGTTGATTTTAGTTGTCCTTTCTCTGCTTTGACTTTCTAAGATCTGTGATTTCCGAGTCATCATACTGAACCTGCATCAGACTGACACTGCAAGCTAAATAAAATATCTACATGGTAAGCATATGCTTTCTTATATTGCCGTAATGCTGATAAGAACTATTCTTGGCCTGTTTAGGTTTTATTTGATTTTAAAAAGGGCATTGGAAATGTAGATAGAACTCTTGTTCATATTTCTTTAACTCAGTTGCAGTCTTAGAAAGAATAGGACCTTTTATTTATTCCTTTGTCTGGACTGACGCATTTCCATCAAATTTAGAATGTCAGTGTAGTAAAGAAAGCAGAAGTAGATCACCAGCAGCATTACCAAGTGATAAAAATTAAGTCCTGATAGTAAGAAATTGGTTTTAAAATTGAAATCAGGCTGTCCCATATAGAGGCTGTGTATGGTCCTGGCCGAGTGGGACAGAAAAGTCTTAAGGCTTCTTTGGTTCTCAAGCCTTTCATTGCAGTAAGGTCCTAGTCTCAATGATTCTGCACTAAGGGTCTTTCCAAGAGGTTCTCTATTTCAAGGGTCTTAGAAGTCACCATCTAGGGTCTTCAAAATTATGCAAAATCAGAAACTTGTTTCCAAAAAAGACCCACCTCATACTCTTTACCTATATGCACCTCCTATGTACTGGTATGAAGTTATGAAATTATAAAACAAGTGAGAAGGAGAGGAGAGATCCCATAAATCCAGGTTGAAATTTTCAATAGAATCTCAATAAAGGCCTAAAGACCTCCATCTCCACTAAGACATGCAAGAAGATTTTAGTGCTAGAGTAGACCAACGAGCCATCTCTCTATGGAGCTACTACTAAGATTAGTGGTTCAAGGTGACTGGAATACTGACCGTGCACCGTGGGCAAGCTGATTTACACATATCTTTATGAGCAAATGCTCTTCCGCCCCAGGGCTAGCTGCACTTATCCCCTCAGGTAACCTGAGGGATGCAAACAAGGAGACCTCATTAAACATCTCCCATGAACAGAGCAAAGCTCACTCAGAGCAAAAGGCCATTCGGTGTACACAACTTTATTGAACAGCACCCTCAAAGTAGAACCCAGAGTCCAGTCTCTGGGGTGACAGGAAGAACTGCAAGCTTTAAACAACATGTCTGTGGTTCACAGAAAACATGCCAAAAGGACTGAGAATGGAAAAAACGGGAAATGATTATATTTTGGGTACCATGCACCCTGGAGGAAGCAGAACAGCTCAGAGTATTAGAGGAATATTTTAGGGTAGAGGAAGTCATGTTATCCATCTAGACGCATCCACCATAAGCACCGTCCGAGCTGAAATGATATAAAACGACCTTCAGTAAGGATGGGGTCTACCTCTGCTTGGCATTTGCAGAATGCAGAGCTTCCCAATACAAGCACAACTTTAAACATCACATCATGTTTTCTCTAGATAGACGCACAGGCTTCTAGATTATGATTTTCATTTGGGAAAGATGACTGAGTTTTGTGTAGTTCTGAAGAGAAGTACTAACAGCAAGTTCCTGAGGGCCTAAGTCACAGTGTTTCCCCGAGGATGTTCTTCAGTAGCACTGCCTCCTCATTTCCAACTGGGTACGGATTTAATTTATGCATTGGAAACACCATTTTCTGCCACATTCCCTTTATTCTGATTCTGACAACCCAGAGGAACATCTTCATCTCAGATTCCTACTGATTGGTAAACACAGAAAAGCAGGCAAAAATGAGCAGTGTGCCGAGTCTCACTGTGTTCAAGTCTTCAGCAGAATGTACCAAGATACCACATTAAATAGGCATTTAAAAAACCTCCCCAGAAGCATGGAATATTTGCATTTTGTAAAATATGAAGCTGTTTTGTTTTCTATTGAAAGCTGCTTGTGATCTTACACTCTAATTTCCCTTACCCTTGTTCTTCCTTTCCTATGAAACTTCTCCATGTATTTATAAAAAATTCTTTGATGCTTGATCCATAATGTTTGATCGAATGACTCAGAGTACCTCTTGAGCCCTGTGTTTCAAATCTGACTGTTGGAGAAAGATCTACTTATGTTCTTTGTTCACAAAGGGGATCTTGTGTACAAAAGTGAGCCATGCAGCCACCTTTTTTGAAATTCTTGCTATTATCTATAAAATTACTTATATGGAAACTACATTTCTAAATTCAGTCTTCAGCTTCTAGTCCCAGGGACTCTGAAGTTCACTGGGAAGAGTATTCTTTTATATCTGGAGACTTGAATAATGATATTTAAGAATCTGTATAAAAATACCCCATTACATCTTGAAATTCCAATTGCCTGGCTTCAACAGCCCATTCCAGGTACAAGGCCCTGACTTGCCCAGTGAGAAAAAATGCAGGTGTTTCAGCAGTAAATGTGAAACATACCCTGCATTCTTACTTTGGAGAGTTTATAAATGCGGATTTCCAGGAGTGATACTAACTTCCAAAGCCACTCCAGATGTATCTAAATGAGTGAACTTGAAAATTGTGATGAGAATTTATAAACTAGTTGCTAATAATAATCTCCTGCTATGGACTTACAATACAATATTTTTCTTGCCATAGAATCAAGATTCATTACCGAAGTGGGATTAGAACTTACCTTCTGGTAATAAAAGGACTTCCTGAGGAGGGAACTGAGTGGGAGAACAGGGTGTCATTCATGCTGGTTACAGGTCTGGGAGGCCTGAAACAAAGCACAATGTGTATGGAAAGTCAAAGCCGAGAAAGCCCACAGATAAAAACTACACTATCTCTTGAGGAAAGGAGATGGAATATCAGAGTTTCATCTTACCTAGGATTAACACATTTCAGTTAAATTATTTAAGTGTTTTACATTTACCTTTCTTTGAGAAGAGTTTACAGTTAGCAATGATTGTGCTTTAGATAGACTCATTAGCTACAATACTGCCACTGCACAAAGCTTACATTTCTTTGAGAATATAGAATCTCATTAAGCACTACTAAGTGGAAGATTTTTGGATAACCTGAGAGTATTTATCCGTGAGCTTTTGAGCTTTGACGTGTCACTGAGCCATGCTCTTCAATGGATCAAGGATTTTGAAGAAAGCTTCCTTCTACTCCTTAAGGGTGAAGCTCTGAAAACGTGGCTACCACAGTCTACATATGTCATTTTGGAAAGAAGAGGACTCTTGAGTCCCTAGAAATTTCCTTCAGTGTAGGTCATGATGATGGCCTTATCTAATATGCCTGATTTGGAAGCACATAGGCTACAAAATCACATCATGCCTTACTTGCTCTTTGCTCCTAGTGAAGATGCAATGAAGCAGTAGAAGGACTTGATGTTTCTGTCATTTAGCTGCTCCATATGATAAGGTATATAGTGTAAGGCATTCCCTAAATTTACCTTTTTTTGTATGGTGAGTGAAAGAAAATAATGTTCAATATTTTCCTGAGAATTGTCTGTGGTCCTAACCTTCAGCTGCTTTGGTCTGTATTCCTTGGTCCTATGCTTGCTTCATCCCTGTCATAAGTTAGTACAGATAGAGCCAAGAACCCTACCCTTGCCAGTAGTTTTTAGTCTTATTTGAGGTTCAGTGAAAGATCCTGACTAGTAAGATATGATTTAGAGTACAGAAGGTGGAGGATGAGACTTTACTATAATTTTTCATTTAACAATATAGGATTTTGTAAAGTAAGTCATTGATTATAGTAGCCAAAAGAATCATTTTGTGTTGGTTTGATGAGAAGCCAAATCTATTTTTTTTTAACTTAGGGAACCAGAATTAGTCTTAGATTTTACAACAAAGAGAGTGTGGGTAAAATGTAGGCTGGCTTCTTGCAATGCATTTACTGAAGTGATCCTGATGCTCTGTGGGTTTTAAAATGCCAGTGGTGTATGCAAACATCTGTTGAAACTTTTTTCTTGGTAGCTGGTGCTAAACTATATTCTAACATTGTGAAGGACTCAGTATGTACTGCATGAGACCAAACAGCAGATTGACCATTTCATCTACTCTAGATGCATTAAAAATGAAGTTCTGAAAACAACTTAGTGTTTTGCACTACTTATCTAAGATGTGCCTTTGTACAAATGAGCACATGATGCTACTTTAAAACTAATTCTGCAATGAACTGAACACTTTAACAGAAAGCTAATTTTATACTAATGTTATTGTAGGGTCTGGTAGAGGGGAAATGGCACAGGGTATGAAATGGCTAATGTGACATGGCTGACATGGCAGATGGCTACATAAAGGACTGACTGCTTATGAGAAATTTTCCTGTGAGAAATCTTTGCAGGTATAGGACATTTATCTTTAGAGCCTCACTTACTTTCACTCGAAAGTCCTCAAACTCCATGCTCATCCTGGCAACAGCTCACCCTAACAGCAGTTCGTCAAGCCACAAAAGCTAAGACCTTGACTAGTTTGCAGTCCCTGTAAGTATGGTCAGAGCAAGGACACCTCGTTGAGAAGTTCACTGGAACTCCTCCCTGCCGTGTTCCTCGTCTCTGCGTTTGCCAGCTTATGAATAAACCTCTGCTCCCCACTACTTTGGTTCTGACTTTTATCGTTGAGGGCCTGACTCCTCCATTTTCACTTGGGAGATCTTCAACTTGAGTCAGCCTCACCCTGCTCTTGCATTTCTTGCCACAGTGAGGATAAGAACCTGAGGAAAGAGGGTCATGGCACAGGAGACTCGTGGGTCCCCAGATCTCAGCCATGACGTTACACTATCTATGATTGTGAGGTTAGATACATCAGGTTATATGACAGTAAGCCAACGAAACACCTTCATTGTAGCTTTTAAAATGTTGAAAGGGAAATGAACTTTTGGTTTTCTTTTGTCATTTAACATCAACAACAACAAAAAACCACAAAATCCCACAACCTTTCCCATCTTGCTCCGTCACTAGAAAATGAGAAAACGAGTGAATGTGAAATGCTATTTAACTAGCTTGATAAATTTACTTTATTAAACTTGGTCACCGAAAGCTGAAATTGAGATTTTTTTTTTTAGAAAGTGATTCACATTTAAGGTTTACCATAAAAATGCTAAACAAGGGACACAGAAAATCTTGTCACCAAATGGTGGCTTTCAGAAAAACTGATGATCCCATTCTCCATAACCAAGTGGCAAGTTGCCTTATCCAAAAATAGTCACAATAGAAATGTTAAACATATTTACTCTGATGGAAAAGAAACAGCTCCATAAGATATAGTAAGTCACAGAGGCCTCAAGCAAAGCTTTCTGGATCTTAGCAGAGGACATTTTTTATAAAATCGGTATTCTTATGAACTGAAAGAGTTCATATCAAGGGAAAATTAATTTTGAACATCTCAATGTGCTCACTTATTCTGTATCTCATAACCACATATGAATCTTTATAGGTACATGGGAGACTATGGAACTACTTACCAGGTATCACTTTTGGCAGCAAAAAATTAAAGAGAATAGAGACTGTTAATCATAGCAGTACATTTACAAGCAATAAATAGCAAAGAACAAATGCTGAGATACCAAAATGTCACCACCTGCTTGTTTCTATTTAAGGAATAAATTCACGACCAGCAGCACCTTTTTACTGTACATGAATTAAATTTCTTGGCTACAATAAAGGAGTGGCACTTTCTGTGTCTTTTGGTGCATTTCCATATACATGCATGTGTTTGTCAGACAATAGTACAACAGTATTCCAACCTGTTAAAAGTGCTGTTGATTCAGCCTTTTTTTTTTTACTGTATCTAAGGCTTCCTGTATACTGTTTTAAAGACAGACTCTGCCATAACTTTGTCATTTTCATCATTTAAAAGTTGGAACTAGAGACTTAAGTAATAAAAATATTTTCTCATTTATTCTCTGTATTGATCAAGCATAAGATATGCATTTTGTCTCAATTTATACCTATATATGATATAGTGACTATTATTTAAGATTGGAGTAGTCATATTGGAGAAGTAGTAACAGTTTTAACAGTCACAAACACAGAAATATGTGTTCATTTAAGAAAAATGTATAATTATCAGCATCCAATTCTCTATATGTGGATTTTATAACACTAAACATATTTCAGCATTGTATAAGATGTGTGATTATTCTTTATATTACAGTGGCATTATATGATTTTTTTCCAAATAGTATCTTCAAAGAATTTGCACTAGTTTACAAAGTGATCACACTTTTTCATGTTAATGAAAATAATGCTTTGAGTCTGTTTTTTAATTATCAATAGCTCAAACTTCAAGTCACCCAGGGCATGAGAGATTGTTCCCATCAATATTTCTGATGCTTATACCGCCACTCTCTACTCTTGCCTTACCTTTGTGTGTGAGCTTATTTATGTGTGTATATGATAAACATTAGGATATTTTTTAAAACCTACATAAACATATGTTGAAGGAATGATACATATGATGTGTACCACTCTTAGCAAATTGATTGATACATTATTTGGCGAAGCATGAGGGAACATACTTGAAGGTGGTCTTTGTTAGAGAGTCAACAAATAAAGTTTCATATTATACACTTTTGTAGTATGATACTATCTCTCCTACCTTAGACTAGCATGCATAAGCCATATTTTGGAGTAATAACTTATGGGGATTGAACAGGGGTGTGAGTGTTAATATGTTTTATTTCTTCAGGTGTTCATCTTTACTTACTTCCACTGTATGACACTCTCTATAAAAGTGATGGAATGGCTTATGATAAAGGACATGCTGTGGAATTCCACATATTTTTGTAAAATGTGTCAAAATTACATATATATACTTCTGGAAGAAGTCTGAATATCCTTTAACTCCAAATGCATGTTCATTATAGCAAATTAAAAGGGTATGTGTAAAAAGATTAAGACATATTCTGTTTATTTAGATTTATTTTTGTATCAGGAATTGAACTCATGACCTCATGCTTGTCAGGCAGGTGCTTATACCGCTGAGCCAATCGCTGACCCTGTTCTGTTTATTTAAACATTTAAAGTCTTTATGTGTTTATGATAGTTTAGAATAAACCAGCAGCGTAGTTTAAAATTGAATACTTTTGGGAAGTCTTAGAATAGTTCCCAAAAGACATACATAACTATTTAACACAGTTGCATTTGTCTACAAAAATATGTATAGGAAAACTTTTGTATAGCTATAAATAGAAAAAATTCTGTTATAGATTGGATATTCTGCATCCAGAATTGATCATAAATTACCTTAATAATTTCATATCTCACACATTTGTATTTTAAAGTTAAGACATTTACACTGCAAAAATATTTTATCAGTGAGTACAGATATATATTTTAATTAAAAAAACTTTTCTGGCATTCTCACTAAATATATACAGATTTTCTCAGAAAAAGGCATGTTTTATACAGAACTTTAAAAAAATAATGAAATTTCTTGTTGAATCCCAAATATAGAACCTGTTGTAGGGTCTGGAGTTGTAGCTCAGTGGTAGGGTACCTGTTCAACATGCCTGAGTCCTTGGATTCAGAACCCAGCTCCCCCAAATCAAACCAAAGTAAAACAAAACAATCCTCCCAACCAACCTATTATATTAATATTGCCAGCAGTCATTTAAGTGAATAACCTATTAGATCATTTGGACCTATAAATTAGAATTTTAAAGATTGTACTGTGCTGAATCTCTCTTTCTCTCTCTCTCTCTTTCTCTCTCTCTCTCTCTCTCTCTCTGTCTCTTTCTCTTTCTCTCTCTCTCTCTCTCTCTCTCTCTCTCTCTCTCTCTCTCTCTCTCACACACACACACACACATTGATCCTGAGCATAAACTGTGTACAAAGCCCTGGCCTTGGTTTGTGCAGTGTGGTGCACTGTGGAGGTGATTTAATTCACCAGGTCTCATTTCCTATCTCTTTCTAGAGTAGGCACCAGTGTGCTCATTCCATTCTACTGCACAGTTCTTAGCACCAGCCTGCACCTATCTGCACTCTCACTCTCTGTGTTCAGCATGTCCAATGGCTGAACCTTTTAAGGGGGCTAAAGTGACCTGGGAAAAATTCCCAGAGCACAGACTTGCTGTCACTTTGCTGTGTTCCTTCACTAGCAACTTGGTGATGGTCTTTAGGACCTTCCTATGGGAAGGGACATTGGAGCTGTAATCTGAACGACTCCGATGAAGGAGATTTTTGGAGTGGTTAGTCCCTTAGAATTTTCCCCAGATTTATTTAATCCTGGTAAATTTTTAGGAGCATAATTTCCAAAATACATAAATCAGATTCTCCAGAACTGGTTTATATCAGTTGTATGAACATCAGGCTGCCTGAGAAACAGGAGTCTCCATTCTGTGTGTGTTGCTGGGGTCAGTGGTTCTTCAAGGATCACTTGAAGAACAGCAAACAGCACAAAGCCCTGAGGTATTTATATGCAGCTCATAGCCATGATCCAGCACAAATGACTGGATGGTGTTTTGCTCAGGCCCAGCAGATAAAGAGTTACTGCTTTCCTAAGTGGTTCAGTCCTAGGTACATGAGTCTACCTGTTAATGTCAACCTGCAAACACAGGCCTTTCAGTAAAGCTGGTGCCACTGAACTATGGGAGACAAAAGGTGGCCCACAAGGAGGCACAACCATGTATCTTACAGGCTTCCGGAAGAAATCTGTGACTGCATCATTCCTACCTTTGTAGAAACAAGTAATGAGCTTCTTTTTTCTTTTGAGATAATTTCACTCCAATGAGTGGCACTTTATTCCCCCTAAGTCCTCTGTTACCTTGGTTGCTCAAGTCTGAGTTGTTTGGGAGACTTATTCTTTTTTGTTCTAATGAAATTTCCCACCTGTTCCCATTTTCAACCTTCCCATTGCTAGACCATGGTTTTTCCTGAGATCATGCACCTTGGAATAAACCAAAATCCAAACTAAAACCCAAACAAAGCAATTTGTGCCATTCAATATGTAGCTCAAAGCACATATGAGGTGAAGGTATAATATGCCTAAATTTTTAAAAACTGCGATCCTTCCATAGATTGTTAACTTCCAGCTGTACAAACCTCACTAACATCCATATTTTAAACACAGCATCTGTGATATTTTCCACCTCTTGGTAAATTATGTTAACACTGCACACATGTATGGCCAGGCAAAGTACTTTACAGCTCAACAAGAAAAAGATATAATAGTGTTACTTTGATCTTTTTTAAAAAAAAATACAGTTTAAGACTTGGTGTTTAACTACTGACATGAAACAGGCTCTGTATGGCTCAGACGTGTATCTGTGAAGAAAGATACAACTTACTGGGTGACATGGGAGGGACACTTACACAATGTGGGCCAAGTTGAGTGGCTTCTCAGGCTGATCAGGGAACATGGGGTGCAAAGGTTCCCTGCTGGATGCGCAACTCAGAGACTTGCTCAAAGCATTGGTTAGCTTTTTAGCAGGTGATTTCTGGAAAAAAAAGAAGGGTAGATGTAATAACAGCTAATTTGGGTGTAACAATTTATCAGATCATTTGCTTTTCAAAATATTCATTCATTCATTCATTCATTCATTCATTCACTCATTCATCTAAGAAATGATTTTTTGATTACCTACTCAAAGCCAAGAAGTTTGCTGGAAGTTCAGAATAGAGTGCTGAAATAAACCACTAGGGTATCTGTGTCCTGCTGTTCAGAACAGCAAATGCTGTGACAAATAGAAGCAGTCATTGTACTTGGGACACCTTAATAGGCCAGCAGGAGTTCTGAAACAAGCTCACGGGACTAGGAATATCATTGCAGATGGAGGGAACAGCAAATCCAATGCAAAGGGAGAAGGAAAAAGAGATCCTATTCTGGAGAGCAAAGTGGGAGGCAGGTTGACCAAAGTCCTTACGTGGCACGTCAAGGACCATGTCTTAATCTTGCAGGCAAAGGGAGACAATGAAGGACTTAAATCACCAGAATTACAGGATGAGACCTGACTCTAGAAGGATTGTGCCCACCTAGGAAGAAAAGATAGCTTGGGATAGAATAGGATGGAAAGGAAGATGATGAGCAGAAAGTTTTTGCAAGAAATTAAGTGAAAGATGCTTCTACCTGGTCCAGCACAGCCAATGAGAAGTAAATCAGAAACTTCAATCTGTGTCTTTCAAATTTAAAATTCATGTTCTTTCCAGAACATATTTTCATTTGGACCAATGGGATGTTTATCTTAATATGATACCATCAGAATTATAAAAATATAATAAGCATTTATAAAAAATATTATATCTAGATAATGAAACTCTAACAAAAAATTCCCTTTCCATAAGGAATCAGTGTTATGGTTACGGTCAACGTCCCTCCAAAGCTTCAGGCAGTTTTGGATGGGACTTTTTCGGAGGTAGCTGGATCCAGGTTGTAATTGGTTCATGGTTCAATGATGGGATTAAGGGTTTGGGGATTAAGGCTGGGTGACTGCTGGATTAGTCCACTGATTGGACTGGTACCGCCCTAAATCCAGCAGTCTGGAGGAGATAAAAGGGACAAGAAGAGGATTGTTTCCCTCCTTTTCTCTTGGTAGTTGTTTTTGCTGTCTTCTGCCACTATGAACTGTTGCCTTCTGTCATGTGCACCTGCTGGGGAGCCGTCCAACTGTGGACCTAATCTTCTGCAAACCATGAGCTAAATAAAATTTTGCTCCTTTAACTTTGGATGTCAAGTATTTTGTCTCAGCAATGAGAATGTAACTACGACAGTCATTTATAATTTTGTCTCTTTCTTTTACACCTTTTCCATTTTCTCTGCTTTAAAATCAGTAATACGTCAATGAAGCGACTGTCATATTATTATTTAAAAGCTAAGTAACAGGAGCATTGTTCATAAAATCCCATTCTGCAAGGAGATGTAATTCTTAGAACACTTAAAGCAGCACACATTAGAACACTCAAACCATCAGCCCACTGTCCTTTTTCAGAATTGGACCGAACTTTGTAAAGACAGTGCCTTACTGTACTACTTTGTAGTACTCAGTCCTAAGAAGGAGGATTCCTATCTGGCTTTAACATTCACATAAAACAACTACAAAATGATTAGTCCTCAAACATTAACCGTGCAGAATCTGGGATAGAAGTTTGAAGACTGGTAATGTTTTGACAATAAAAAAACATAGAAAGTGTTTGCTCCCATCCTCTGTTACTGAATTGTAGTTCATGATTCGCATTCTTGTGATTATCCTCAGCAGATGATAAAACACTCATCTGACTCCACACGAAGTGCTCAGGGTATGCTGCATTAGTGAAGAACTGTTACTTCATGTCAGACTCTGACAAATGATGAATTATTAATGTAATTACACTGTATTATAGTACCTGTATTATGGTTGTCCATTAGAGTGCCTCATAATGATTGCTAGGACAAATATTCTGATTTAAGACACTTATTCTGAAGACTTAAAAAAAACCAACAGTAAGTAACCCTTTATTAGAGACTATAGGTTGAACTGAATTATGAATCTAGGATATTTAAAGCATTCAATAAATACTGAATTTCATTTTTAAAAAATTTCTAAATTTTTGCATTTTCCTGTGAACTATTTCAAGAGGCATGACGAGGCTGATGGTATATCCTGCAACAAGTAATCCATTGTTAGAATAATACTTGAATATCGCATGACAGCAATGTTGCTAGACCTGATCTTTGATTTTAACTAAAATAGACGTTAAAAAACTACAAACCATTCATACAGGAAGCACTCTGAGAAAGTACAATTTCTCCCTTAATCTTAGTGCCATGTATTCCTGAAAATTCATTTATCACACAGACACTCACATGTCATCTTTACCAAGTTAGTCAATCACACTATTCATGCAAAGAGGATTTGCTAATACCACAATGTCTCCACTCCATCTTATGCAAAAAAGTAAGGAGGAACAGTATTAGTAAACCCACACTCTCATACTTACTTCCTTAATACTCAAGGATCTAGGAAAAAGACCTATATTTTTCAGCAACTTCCACAAAAACACAGCAAAACAAAACTTGGAAGAATCTGTAACTTACTGTGAAAATAGGACTATGTTCCGGAAGATGCTTGCTGTTCAGTTGTTATTTAAAGCAATACTGAAATGTCTATACCCAAAAAGTAATGTAGTTTGAGCCTTCTTGTATTTTTAAGTCTCAGGAAAGTACATTGGTTCAGACAGCATGAGAAAGAGATTCCAGTAAAACAGGGATGGCAGGGCTGGGGCAAGGACTGTTAGTGTGGGAGAAGTTAAGTTTGCTCCTTAATTCTGTAACCACCCTCGCTGGTCCCTTCCATTCTGGGCCACACTCCAACTGCAAGTATTGCCCACACCTCGCCTTACCCATGATGTATACTCTTTCATCTGGTGCTGGTTGCTATGGGAGCCACCAGCATGCCCCCTCCAGAAGCAGTCCTGACAGAGCTGGTAATTGTGACACTGCTGGCATCGGTAGCGAAATCCCATCATACTCTCGCTGTGGCAGTAGGAACACTCAACCGGATGGAAGACTAAGGGGGGAGTAAACGAAGAAAAACAGGAACATGACGGTATGAACCAGAATAAGGAAAAACCCAGTTCCGATGAAATCACATTTTCTGCTGTATAACATGTCTTCAGACGATAGTTAATATTAGCTCGGAGAAGTGCTAAGTTTATTGCTGGAATCTCACTACCCTTTTCAAGCACGTGTTGAGCTGGAGGAAATGGGATGGGCAATAGGTATCCTATTAATGACACGAATCTTTGTAATACCATTTGCTCTTTTTTCTCCCATCTCTTACAGATTATACTCTCACAGAATATAAATTACTCAGTCGACTTTGCCTTTCCCCAAAACAGCTCTGTCTCCTGGAGACCAGCACAGCTCGCTGAAGACTCAGAAGCACATGGATGAATACAGTTAACTGTCCCATGAGCAGAGGGCAAATATCAAATAAATGGAAAATGACAGGAGACAAACAAAGGGACATGGGGACAAGCAGAAAACCTGGACGAGACTTTTAAAGTAATGGTTGATTTAATCAGTGATATTGTCATTTTTCTTTTCTGAGGCAGGTGGATAGGGCCCAAGAGATGTGTAAATTATTAATGAATAAATTTTGAGCAGGAAATTAGAATTACAAAGTGGGCAAGGTAAAATATGTGAGATTTAAAGCTAATAACTGATAAAGTCCAGGTAATTCCTAAATGTTATGAACTGAAGATACTAAAACCAACAACAATAGCAACAACAACAGAAAAAGTTCTTGCCTTTGATAAAGTTATTCTCTAACTAACCAGGCAGGATAAATAATGCAAATAGGAAGTAAGAATAAAAAGCAAAGTGTACATAGACATAACCAGTTCTGGGTGCATTGGCAGTTTTCGTTTCTGGCACTTGGGGAAGACAGAGAGGGTCTTCAACCTAGAGTAACCACTCTCGGACAAGCGCCCGAGAAACCAACCTGCAGCAGGAAGTATCAAGACAAAGGGAGGGAAATTCCAGTATTATGACTGAAAAATGACTAATCCTGGGACTGCAAAAAAACCCCCCCCAAAACCAAAAACCTCAGTCAGCAACATAAAAGGGGCCTTGACTGCTCTTTACTTCTACATATAGATAAGATGCATTAAAAAGTCTGTGATTATTATTATTATTATGATTATTATTGCAAAAAACCCCTTAGTAAGTTCATTTTTTAAATTTTGCCCATTAGCAAAAGAGGATAAATTCATAATTTTTAACTAAAAGAGATTATAAAGACAGTTGCTAAAAATTCTGAATAAAAATTTTCAGCATTCTTTTCAGAATTTAATAAGAATTTAAAGTGAAGCCAATTTTGGCCCCAAAATATACTAAAGACATATGTAGACAATCAGATTCCAGTAAGATGTATGGGATGAATTACGTTCTGTTCAACTGAAGAAGTTTCAGAGTTCAATGAACCAATAAACAAAGAACATGTGAAGATGACAGACACTGAGAAATTTCTTTAACACTCATCCTAAATTATATTTCATATATAAATCTTGATATATCAACAGTAAATACTTTCATCCTAGAAACATTTAATTTAAAAATGCAACGTAGCATCTCACCTGACATAAATAGAACTCTAGAAAGCTTACAATTTGGAGCTTGTGACTAAGGATTAGCAAGGTGTCCTCATTTAATATTTGTGCTATCTATTACCTTGTGCTATAAGGAATATCTCATCTATTCCTTACCGATTTCCCTGGAAGAAACTGTACTATTCATATCAATATCAAGAATTCAGATCTGAACTAAAAACCAGGAAGGCTCCCATTCTTATTGACATACTTTTATTATACCCACCTGATTTATGACTTGGAGCTACACAAGGAGGTTTAATACATGCTTAGAAGTACAGGGGTCTTTTAAGCTTCATTATTTTGGATAAAACCATCCAAAACAAAACTAAGAACCACTAAATGGGCATTCCTAAGTCACTGCCATGTGATGAAAAACTGTAGAGTTGATGGCTCTATTTAAATAACATTAATAATAAACTGCACAATTTTGCACAATAGTGACTACTCACCATTTTCAACATTTGCTAGTCGATGCAGGAGAGGCAGCCAGACCAAGCACTGTGGCGGAGGATCAGACATGAGCGTGTCCAGGAAACCATTTAATGTGACTTTTTTCTGCATCAAAAAAAAAAAAAAATCACAAAAGTTTAGGGCAGAGAAAAGTCTTATTTGTTATGTAAATATTACTAGAGACTGAACAAACAACCATAAAATTAATGTCTACTAGATGAGGAAATGGAACTTTCTAAATTTATTATTGAAGTAGTTCAGAACTGAAAGCACGGATTTTTTTTTATGCCTACACCCATAAGAGACCAGATTATTTCCATTGATACTGAGCAATAGCATAACTGGGGGGTCAACAATTCTGAAAGCATCATTGTTATAGACGAGGCAAGAGGAAGAACTAAGATTCCTCATAGAATTTACGAATATCTTTCAAGATTCTCTACTGGCTTAAATAATATTTGTTGTCATTGTGAATGGCTATGCTATATTAGATCGGGGAAAATTCTGCTAGCAGACAACATGTAAATTCTTTTATTTATCATTCCTCTCAATCCACTTTGCTTCTGTTTCCTCAGTGTGGCCCTTTCTGACATAGAAAAAAGCGCATTATATCAAATTTCTTTAAAAAGTAACAAAAATAATGTTGTGTTAATATGAATTGTACTAGCATTAATAATAATCATATTTATATGAAAAATAACTGTTGATTCCACATTTTGAACTGGTATGTCAAAGTGGATGAAATGTTAATATTTTTAAATAATAAATCAGTCTAGAAGAGCTACAGCGTCATTTTAAAGGTTATAGTTTACACTAATCCTTATAATTCACTAAATAAATACCCTTCACTGATCTCTTATCACTAGCAGAAATTTATAATATCAGTCTTTTTTTCATAATACTAAGTGGTTTAAGTTAAAGGTTGACATCGATATTGCTATTAAATATATATTGTGTAAAATATAGATAATGAGATATTTTTAAAAAGGCAGCAGAATTCATGTGCTTAAAACAATATTGTCTTTGAAAACTATCATTTGGATAACCTAGACTTTTTTCCAATGAAGTATTTCAGACATTTTTGGAATCTGATCCTTTAAACTGCTCTTACAAAAATAATAAGACAAAAATAAATTGGTCTTATTATTTTTTACTTGTGTTATTTTCTTTTGTATTTCAAATGATCTTTTCCATCTTGATCATTCATTATATTGGTTAATAATCACTCCTGGATGTTTCAAAAAATGTCATTATGAAAAAATATGCATGTAGAAATTTCTTATCTGTTTGTTTGTTGAGACAAGGGTCCACTATGTAGTTCACGCTGTTCCTGAACTATGTAGCCTAGACTGGCCTTGAACTCACAGCAATTGTCTTGCCTCAGCCTCTCAAGTGTTGGGATTTCAGGTGTGCACCAGAACCCCTGGCCAGAAATTTTTTATCTTTAAGGATATTTAAATGATATAATGGGTCCATCCTGAAGATATTTACAAGGGGCTTTTTAACATGGGAAGATTATTGTAGTTCTTGTTCAGTTAGTGAAAGCCAGGCCTAGAAACACAAATACTGCATATTCTCATGTAGAAGCTGAAATAGTTGATTTCAGAGAAGAAAAAAATGAAACAGTAGTCTTTAGAGGCTGGGAAAAGGAGGGAGGAAGGGGTATAGGAAGGATCGCGGATGGGTATGGTTAGACAGAAATGCCAACTCCGAAGAGAAATTACTGAAAGGAGAGAATGCTTTAGTTGGGAGCAGAGGTGAGGATAAACACACAGGCGTATCTAAGTGGGCATGTGGGGGGATAGGGCGAGATGATAAAGTAGCAGAGTTAGATTTATCAAACTACATCTGTCTACTAATTGTACAGATATGCTTGGGAGTCTGCCTCAGTTCATGATTCATAAGGATACCTGAAGCAGCTTTGACCTCCCATTCCTCAAGTAAACAGATTGATATTAATTAGGGGGACAACTAATGTGGATTTACAGGGGTTTCTATGCACTAATTTTTTAGCACTAAATTTTTTAATAATTATTTTTTATTTCATTTGCACTGATTTCATATTTATGAGATTCTTTTAGAGGGCACATCTGGCTAGTTTGGATTTTTAAAAGATTGTAAACAACCTTCAAAAGATTATAAACAAACCTACTACACACTGCTGGAGAGTGGGCTTGTAGCTACTTCTACATGACCAGAGGGGGACAATCACGGAGACACCCCCAAACCATGGCTTTCCGTAAGCCACGCTCAGTACAAACACAGCATTCATAGCCCTGAATGCATCACATCACGGCAGATTTAGCTGTGTTTGCCATGCTTGGGCCACCCAGGTCACAGTGTGGTGACCCCTTTCTCTTCTCCTTTGTTGAACATCGATATAACTTGGTACTGAGTCACACATGTGTCTCATGTGAGGCTGAGTGACAACTCGGTACTTTTGAAAGTGCAGTGATAGTAATAATGATAAGGTTGTAAGGTTGCAATTGCATAACGAAAGTAAAGAAATTAGCACGGCGCTTGCCTCATGGTCAGTGAACCCTAGCGGTCATTATGATCTGGATGTGTTGGGTTAGTTAACTGGCACAAAGGTCATCTGTCAGAGGCTAGAGATACACTCTAGCAGATTGTCCTGTAGAATTGCTTGTGCTTCTGTGGCTGGCAATGACACGCAGAAGGACAGCAGCAACTGCTTGAGAGATATTTCCATTACAGTGTTACCTGCTGGGAGAAACAGGATCTAGCTGACTGTTCTGTGTAACCAAACGAAGGACCTTCAAAAACTGCTGTGGGTAATTTGAGAACTTCCCGAAGGAATTGGTCGTATCGTCCATAAACCATCACTCCGCTGGAGTCAGAAATCATCGAGAAAATATCTGATGAAAGGGAAAGGATGAAGATACTTATTCGTCACATGAACATTCTCTTCTGTTTTAGGTCAACATATCTGCTACTAAAAACAAAAACTGTGGCAGAATAAGCATATTCTTTTTATGAAAGAGTGCAACAAAGGCTAATTTTTATGCTTAAATACTTTTATGCTTAAATACTCCCGGCATACTCCCGTGTTTTCTCTGGTGTCTTCTCATCGGTGATTATGGCACACAACATAAAGTGGTCATCTGGTTAAAATTAACATTTTGAGAGAGCAAAACATGTCACATTTTTATTCTGAGATCGGTTATCAACTCATTTATAATTCAATAAGGATAATTCTTATATATGTGAGGTATATGTTGACCTCATTTAAAGCACCAACTGAGGGTTGGGGGTGTGTGTCTACCTGTTTAGCTTAGATCATCAACAAAACATTTAGGTTTGGCTTAACATATGTGAAAAATAGAAGATATAGCAAGGATAAAGATATAACCAAAACACCATTAACTTCCCAGGGAGGCAGAAAACATATTATAAATCACAGTGCTCTGAGTTGAAGGCATTTGATTTATGGGAAAGGGTCTTTGGACTCGTAGTGAAAAGGAAAGCTGGCTTTGGGGATGATCAGTGAGGTAGAATCATGGTCTTGGATTATTCTCCAAAGCTCTCTGGTTTCGTTGAACCTCTGATCTTCAGTTTCTACTACTGCATACATTTAACGAATATCAATGGAATAATTTCTCAAGGTATTTTGTAATTCCTCTTTAGAAATCATTGTCAGAACGAAAGGTTTGCTATTAATTTATCACTATGTTAGCCAGCTCGTTACTAGGCCCAAGGAGGTGCAGAGATAAACCGTTGTAAGTTCCATGTACTCCATTCATACATTTTAGTTTTGAATTTTCAAGGCCAAAATGTACACTTGTATATTTTGTACATTACTTGTACACTGTGACCAAATGTTAGTAAACATACTGTAGTCTTCCACTGGATTATGTTTTGATTTTGTAAATTAACTATCATTTTCTTAAATACACCAATTACAAAGGATTTATACCATGCTTCAAGTAGTTTATTAATTATGAGACTACAAAATTGTATCTGGGGGTAATGTACAAAATATATAAGGAACCTAAACAACTGTATAACAAGAAAACAAATAACCTGATTAAAAATGGGCAAAAGGTACACATAGATATTTCCCCAAAGAAGTCATACAAGTGAATAATTGATGAAAAACACTTAATAGCATTACTCATTAGAGAAACGCAAACCAGAACCAGAATTTCACATTATCTCACTCCAGAATGGCTGTTATAAAAAAGGTTATCAAGTGGTGCAGAGAATTTGGAGAAATTCTCTACACTGTTGGTGAGAATATAAACTAGTAGACTCATTATGAAAAACACTGTGGAGGTAACACAAAGATTGAAAATAGAACTACCATATGATTCAGAAATCTCATTACTGGATATGTATCTAAAGGAAATGAAGCTAGTATATTGAAGAGACATCAGCACTGCTGTGTATTGTAGTACTGTTTACAATAGTAAAGAAATGTAATCAGTCTAAGTCCGGACAGATGAATGGTTAAGGAAAAAATATATAGCCATAATAAAAGCATATCCTGTCATTTGCAACAGCATGGATGAACCTGGAGGATATTATGTTTGGTGAAATAAGCCAGGAAACTAAATATAGAATCATCATATGCCTGTGTGAAATGTGGAGATGCTGATCTCATAGAGGTTGAGTGGCGCATGGGATTACTGTAAGCTGGAGGCAGGGGGTGGTGGTGTGAGGTGAAGGAGGTGGGGTAGATGTTGGTCAAAGGTAACTACAGTTAGATAAGAGGAATATGTCCAAGAGATGTGTTGGGTGGCATGGTGATTGTAATTAATGACAGCACATTGTATTTTTTTTTAATTTTTTATTATTTATTTATTTATTTTTTTTATCGGTACCGGGGATCAAACTCACGACCGCCTGCTTGCAAGGCAGGTGCTTATGACGTTGAGCTAAATCCCCAGCCCCAGCACATTGTATTTTTAAAACAGTAAAGAGAATAGGTGTTGAGTTTTCACTACAGATTATCCAGATACCTATGTGAAACAGCAGAATAGATAATTTGTGAAATTACTTAAACTTCTTTGTAGTTCTTATTTATCTATTTTTCTATTTTGCTCCCCCTAAGAGAAACCATATAATATTTAAGTTGTGTTTATTGAAAAAAAGTTTTGTCTTTTATTTGTTTATTTCTTCTTTGCAAGAGACACTCTTTTTCTTGTCTATGATTTGTATTCTGAGTAACGTTTTGGACATTCTTTTAAGATAATAATATAGATTATTTTAATCACTATTTTTTACAAAATTTAGTTTTATTTTTAATAGAATTAAAAGTGCTTTTATATTTTCTTTACTAATATCTACTTGTACTACATTAAATGTTAAAAAAATTAAAAAGAAATGAACCATGTAATGTAATGCATATGTTAATTAGGTAATTTGACCATTTTGCAATATATTTATACAACAGAAATACATGAAGTGTTTGACTGTCAATTTAAAAAATGAATTCTATCAGAACAAAAACATTAATGTTCTCATCCACCTTCAGAATGTTATTTATTTAGGAAATTTTACCACGTACTCCATTAGAACTAGTCAAAAAACAAAAAAGAAGCTGGCAATAGCAAAAACTGTTATGTAATTCCAAAAACAGAAGCTAAAGACTTTCAACTGAAAGGGAGAAAAAGCAACTTAGGAAAAGCAAATTGACTTTCTGAAGAGAGTGGCTGTCTTGTTAGTTTGGAGGCAGGTCATCACAGGGTCATCCAAATTGTCCTCTAGGCTCTCATTTTCCAGATCAGGGTACATTTTGTAAAGCAGCCTAGGTTTTCAATCCCCACAGTAGAATTTGGACACATCTCTGACTAGAGCAAAAGGAGAAGGAGCACACTAGTGACCTGCCACACACTTGAAACTAATGTGACTTCGTCTATGGTGATGAAGATGTGTTAAGAAACAGCTGACTCAGGCTAGATTGCTGTGATGAATGGAGAATGGCTATTAATGGCCACATAGGTTTTTATAAAGGAAGGAAGGAACTCTGAAGTACCTAGCAAAATTATGTATTTGTAGCTTAGTTTTGGACTTTAGATAATATAATGATGATGATAATGATTATATATACATATATTTATATATATATACATATATAAATGGCTATTTCAAGGATTAAATTATTTAATGAAACTACTTAGTACTTGGAAAACAGCATGCCAGTTTGCATGTAAGACATTAATTTCACATTGCATTTTTCTGTTATGAACTTCAGCTATTTAGGCTTTGCCTCTCTGATGGGATTTCCTATAAAAAATTAAAGTCAAATTCTAAACCACTACTGTATTTTTCCTATAGCACCATGGAAGGATGGATACTTTAGAAAAATTCACATTCACTGAGTCTTTCAATTAAAAGCAACCTAGCACATACTAAATGTGGGACACTATGATAAACTGAATATATGGAAAATTTGGGAGCAGTTCTTGCCCTCTGGGCATTAGAGAAGCAGAGAAATGCTTTCTGGGCGCATGACAGGACATCATAGACTTTACCCTGTGGTGTGAATAAGGGAGGGTGGGTTGGAGCAGAAGCTCGGAGAGAAAGCTTCCAGAGAGAGAAGCGAGTCAGGGCCAAGTGTAAAGGCCACTGATGGGCTAGGCAGGCACAGGTGAGGGGAGTGGGTGCAGGGAAGCAGGACTAGGATTGGTGGAGAGAAAAGCAAACACAATGCACTCAAGGGCCTGCAATCCACCCTGGGGTGCTTTCAAGGCGTGGTGTGTGGTGAGCTGATACAGGAAAGGCTTTGCAAGCTCTGCTAAGAGGGTTTGGACTGTGTCTGGAGGAGGCGAGGTAGTTCCTAGATAGTCTAAAGTAGGCCAGGAAGTTTGAAATGCCACTCTGGAGGTTTCCTTGGAGGAAGACTGGGCAGCTCAGTGTTAGAAACTCCATAAATACAGACCTTTGCCATAATGCTTGTCTTTCAAGCCAGAGAAAACAAGTTCTTAACAGATGTAGAACCAACCGTACGTGATGTTCTAAGCTCATAGTTAGTGGACTTAGAATTCCTTATGATCCTTAAGACTTAAAGAGCCCCAAGGCAGAAATATAAATAGGTGATCCTTCCCATGAAAACAGTAGTTTCTTATCCTCAGAGAACAACTGCACAGAACAGGAGTGAATTAGTCAGTTATCTAGGTTGCAGGCCCGCCCCCTCCTACGCTGAGTCCATGTTGATCTCTGGAATTACACAGCCAATGCTGCACATCAGTTGATGGTGGCCCCGAGTGTTAGAAACTGCAATGTAACATGGAATTGTCATCACTTTTTATACATTTTAAACCATTAAAAAATGAGATTCCATTTTTGGTTGTTTTCTCCTAGCTTTTTTTTTTTTTTTTTAATTTCTAATTTATTTTCAACCAATTATTCTTGCTCTGAGCTTTCCAAAAAAAGGGGCTGGTGAGAACACACCAAACATCCTTCATCCCTGTACACAGAAAGAAAAACTGCCAAACAAGCACAGCTGGCATTCTGGCTTGAAGTGAATCAGAAACATTTATGGAAGAGAAAATAAAACCTTCAAACCCTAAAAAATGCTATGTCCTTTCACTGTACTTTTTCTTAATTATGAAAGTAATGTAGGAAGCCATGACCTTGTCTGCTCTATTACTGAAATGAAAGCCAGTAGGAAAATAACCATAACCCCGATTACCAAGTCAGCCATTGCTGTCTATGGGTATTTGCGCACAGTTAGTCAGCCAATAATTTTCATTGGAACTAGAAATATTGGTGAGTAAAGATAATCATTTTTGACTAATTAACATTTTGGAGAGATTCTTCTAATCGAATTGCTTCCAGCATAATTGTTTTCTGTCAAATTGCTTCAAATAAGTTACTTGGAAGCCAATGAAACTCTTTCTACAGTTGCCAACATGAATAGGGCTTCCTCAGTCAGAGCTTGAGGGACACAAGAGACTGTGATCCAGGTTTGCTGCTCTCAGCAGAGGAGCACGATACATTACGGTCATATGGCCTGCTTTTCTACAGAATTTGATGACAGATGGAGAACTTCATCTGTCTCCAGTGGAACTGGCACACGGTTGCTTCCTTTGCTATACAGGGGAGTCTTCACTGGCTGCCTGACAGCAGGCCTGCTTTATTCATGGGTTGTCCTTTTTGGAGGGAGACAATGGGGTGGGGAGAAAACCCACAGGTATCCTGTTTTCTTTGAATTCTGGCACTTGCTATGGTTCTTTAAGCTGGTAAAGATTTGTATAAAAGCAGCCTGAGCTTGGTAATTGCTGAATTTATTGGCCTCAAATGTTTTCCTGAGCTAAGAGAAAAAGAGTGGGCCTTCCCAGCCCAACAGGTAAAGTGGATTCTAATCAATCAGGATGTCTGGTAGGACTTTCCTCCCAACAGTTCCTGGGTTAGTGACTGGTCTGAGGTGTGAGCCTGAGCAATGACACTTGAAGGCTGGAGTGAGATGAGACTCCTGACACTGCCAATCCCCTTTTCCTCTGGAGGAAGGTGACATCTAATGAGGCAGAAAGTTGAGGGGAAGCATGGGAAGACTTAGGTTCTTAGGGGCGTAGGATTAACATGGAGCATTCGTGGGCTAGAGCCCTGAAGTTTAGAAAATTGGTTTTTATCAGTTTTCCTCAAACTTATTCTAACCTAGGACGTTTTCATCCAGGTACCAATTAATATAATATTGAAAAAGTATTATTATTGTTAGTTTTCTGGATTAATCTAACGCCCTGAGCATAAATGGCTAATAGTGATGTGAGGTCAACAGGCAAGGCCTGAGGGGTTTCTTTCACTGCTTTGGTTCATTTTGCTAAATTTTCTCTTGCTAGTCTGACCCTGAAAGAAATGCCTCCTGGTTACCGCAAAGCCCTCTCCCCAATCTTTTCAATGTCATTGATTCTAGCACCTTCTTGTTCAGCTATTATCTCTCAACCAAGAACTGAGACAGAGAATTCTCATCATCCAGCTCATTCAGGCTACATGGAGACTGACCTGACCCCCGAGGTCGGGCTGGATGTCTCTGAATCCAGGTGCACTTGGCTCCCCACAGAAGGAAGTCCCTGGTAATGAGGGGAGCCCGGGGATCACTTGGGGCTTGCATTGTGTTTCCTTTTACTTATTTACTGGGCCAACAAGAAAACTTTCCCTGGAAGTGTGTCTGAGGAAATTCCAAAGGGGAGAGTTTTTCTGTATTTTCCTTCTCTTTTTTTCTTGGCGCTCAAGATGCAAAAAGTGTACTGTGAAACTGACAGGCAGCCAGGGAGAAAAGACTTATGGAAGTCAGGTATGGTGGTGCACACCTATAATACCAGCACTTGAGAGGCTGAGGCAGGAGGATCACTGTGAGTTCAAGGCCTGCCTGGGCTACAAAGTGAATTCAAAGCCAACCTGAACTGCAGAGTGAGATCTTGTCTCAAAAAGACAAAAACAACACAAAACAAAATACTCAAAAAACTTATGGTTGTGAGTCACAGATGGCTGCAGCTAGAAGCAACACTACAGGTGATTAATAAAATCCCCAAATTTAGATTGTGGAAGAAAGCTGAGGACTAACTAAGTGAAATTAAAAAAAAATGTAGGGTAACTCAGTAAGTTCGTCCCATGGCTGGAACTCCCAGCTCCCAAGGCAGTGACCTTTTAGCACAGCTTTATAACTCAAACTCAGAAGGTTTACGACAACAGATGGAGTTAAAGGAAACCTTGAAACATAAGCATCAGTATCATTTTAATCTAGTGCAAAAAGAAAATTCTTACCCCACATTTCTACCTGAGGCCTCCTGCTACAGAACCCAAAAGTCTGTATTTTTTTGAAAAGCATGCTAAAACTTGAGGAACACTGCCATGGAGAAAAGAGTCAGGATTTAAATCCTAGCACCATGTCACACATGTAATTTATTTTATAAGGTTCAGCTTTTTAAATCAGCAGAAAAATGAAAAAATCACTGTTGTTGGCTAAGAAACTGTCCTGTAGTCAGTGACAACAATACACAAAGATGCATAACCAGTTAATGCTTTTCAGCAGTCTTGGGCTGTACAACCTCTATATAATTCTAACGCCAATTCTCTGGCAGTATCTGCTTGGGAATCCATGGAGTTCCCAGTAACTTGGATAGGACAGGCTCAGAAAATGTGGAAATGTGCCAGTACCTGTGGTTCTAAAACATCTAACGGGCATTGCTCCCTTATGTGGTTTGGGGATCTTTAAATTGATCAGCTACCTGTAATACAGCACAGTTCAAGCAACTAGAAAGATTGCATATACATTAACATCAGAAAGAATTCAGTTGGTGATACTCAAGTCTTAAATGCCCATAAGTAGAGGAAAATATTCATTTCATTTAACATTTATTTAATATGAAAGCATTTCTATGACAAAATCCAAAGATCAAAGAAGACTGCACTTCAAATGATTCTCATAGAAGGAGGAAACACATAAATAAGTGGCAGGACAGGACTGTGGGAGAGGGACAGTGCCCCAGAGCATAGAAAACCAAGAAGAGTAACTTACATCTTAATTTGTCCATGATCTTCCCTCCACACAATGTGGCTAATGCCATTTTGACAGCAAATACTGAAATTTTGCCATGGCCTTCCCTGTTTAGTAGTAATAGAAAAAACACAAAACAAACATGATGTCATTTGGAGCACAACCAGTAATGTTTGACATTTTCTGTTCTGGAGAAATCACAAGCTATGTGACTGCATGCATTATATGAACACATTTACTTTAGAAAAGGTTGAGTACAATTCACATCATTTCTGAAAATCGGTCTATTCAAGTTCCCTTTTTTTCAAGACACATCAGAATCATCATCATCTTCTTTTTTTCTTTTTCTTTTTTTTTTTTTGTATATCTCACTTGCAAAATTGGGCTGATTGCCAGTAGAAGTTGCACTAGCTAACTATGAATTTAACAACAGAACTTGCTTTTAACTTAGATTTCATAAAATAATTGTGTGCAGGATGATTCCAGTCTAATTTATTTAAACAAGCTTCAGAGGTGTCGTAGAATCCCTGAATTTGAGGACAGGATAATTATGGGGACTTCTTCATCACACGTTTATTATTTCAACTATCATTTCCTACCCACAAGGGAGCTGTGACTGCATGACATATTTACTTTTCAGTGAAAGCTGGTATTTGAAAGAGGGAAAAGCAAGAACTCTGTGTGAATAGTTCTACTTTTACCTAACTTGACACAAATACTTTTGCTGATTTAGAAGCATAAAAACCTTGTCTTTCACAAAATGGGACGTAAAGCGCATACTGTAAGAAGTATAGTGTTTCAGCTAAATTATATTCTATTGGAATAAACTGTACAGTAGTACCTTGGTTATGAACTCAATTCTTTCCATAACTCTGATTGCAAATGGAACTGGATGAAAACCAAATCACATTTCCTGGTAAGATGAATATCGAACCTAACCATTACATTTGGTTCACTTCTGGTCCAACTTTGTCTGCTACAAGAATCATGGAAAGAATCAAGTTCATGAACTGCGGCACCACTGTGTTCTTTATTTATTTATTTTGGTACAGGGGATTGAACTCGACCTCATGCTTGCCAGACAGGTGCTGTGACACTGAGTCTACCACTCCATTCTTATATCTTTGGAATCAGACAGAGTATCATACTAGTGAATCATTGCTTTGATAACTGCTTCTCTTCAGAATGATCAAAAGAGTTATTTAAAGTAATAATGTGACTGAGAAGTAAATAAAGTCTGTGTTGCCAATGCTTTAGCACGTACAATAAATGATGCAAATGAGTAAGATTTATATATTTCCTTAGTAGGCTTCTTTGTTCCTTGAGAGGCTTCTGAAAGGAATCATTGGTGAGTCATTTTTGTTGCTCTGGTTCTTAGTATAGCACCTTGAATATAATAGCTAGGCAGGATACAAAATTAACTGAATCTGATGCTGGTGATTCTCCCAATGCATTTATCAGCCTGAGCATCACACTTATATAATTCTTTATGAAAACTCATTGCCTGGATACCTCACACAAATACAAGTATGTTTAAAGCAGAACTCATCATCTTTGAAGATCCCTTCCATAGTACTTAATAACTTTTCCTTAATAACTTTTCCTCCTCCATCCCTCTTTTAGTTGGTAGAGCTACAGTGTTATCCACAACTGCACACGGGAGCAGATGTCACTCTCACCTTGATTTCTTGCTTTTCTTTATTTCACCACTGTCTTGAATAAACATTTGAAAGACTCAAATATCTCTTTTGACTGTCTATGGAATCCATTCCTTCCCTCATTGGTTGCTGCTTGTATGGGTTCTTGCTTTAACATGGTAGTAACCTCCAACATGATCCTTCTGCTTGCACATTTACAAATTAATTTGACCATATTTTAAGCTTCAGTCTCAGTTGCCATCATTTCTGTGTTGCTGCCACCTAGTTCTATGTCTCCTGGCCCTTCCCCTTCCCCCACAGTCTGTCCAGGACTCTGCCACCCGCTCTTGGAGATACTAATCGATACCATCATTCACCTTGCTCTAAAAACAGCTTTTGCCTTGGATGGGGAGATAAGCATCCCTCTCTCCTCCATTTTTACCTATTATGTGACATTTGTCACAAGAAGTGACCTTGATTTGCTTGTTTTCTTGTCTGCAATGTGACTCTACACTATGAGAATCTTGGGGGCAGGAATGATTCTTCTAAATCAGTAACATTTCCAGTGCTTAGCACTTTTGGTTAACACAAAATTAATGATCAATGTGTTTGTTATATTAATGAATGGATAGTAATCATTATAATAAGTATCCCTAACAATTTGAGCATCTATTCATGAAGGTTTTAAACAAATTTTAGAGTAGATAGCTTTATAAAAATTGCAATGGTTTTGTATAAACCACTTTGGTCAAAATTATCTCATGTCTGTGTATTCCCAATTGCTTAGATAACTGGAGGTATCAAGCATTTTACATCAGCGAATAACTGATTTCTTTTCTTTGGTGGGAACATGTTTCAAATAATGAGAACAGAAGAGTCTGGAAAGCAGGGAAGATTAGAAATAATATAGCAAGAAAGCAGTTTTCAAAATGCAAGAGAGCACTTTATATGAGTTTTCAAGAGCAGTACAACTTCCTTTCAATGAATCAGAGTTAACAATTTAACTCAGGGGAGAGGACTGAGCACAGATGATGTAAGAATGGAGAGTTCTCTAAAGGATGAAATGATGATACTCATGAGGGAGTTCTGAAACCTTAGCTTTTAGTGAAGAAGATCATAGGCAGATTGCCAGTCCTGTATTTTTCCTAGAAATGGAAGATTGATTATATTAAATTCTACATTGGTTGTATCTGAGCTATTCTGCCAAATTGACGCAATAAATCTAGATAAATCACTGCAGGGAGGGCACCTGAATGAGAGTTTTGCAGGAACTCAAGGGTGAAATTAGGCCACTGGATCTATTGTTATGCAAGCTACTGTGCCAGATTGCAAATGTGACCCTGTCAGGAAGAAGGACTGGGGGGGTATGCAAAGATTTAGGTCCTGGTACGCAGACCTCTACTGTGCAAGTTCAGACCTTGCATGCTCCAGGCATGGGCAAATCCTTAAGGGTTTAAAGAGCTAGTGACATGACTGCCTTTTCAAAGGAGAAAGATGACAACAAATACAATGAACTTTTTTTTAAAAAGTGCATTCTCAGTAGATATAACAGGATGGAGAAAAGTAGAGGTAAAGAAAAGAGTCTATTTTTAAGGCATCTGGCCAGGGCCCCATACCAAAGGCCACTGCTGAGCAAAGTCTTGGGGTTAGGAACCCTATTTGGATGTGAAAGAAAGAATTGATATTGACATAGGAAACAAGGAAAGGAGAGCAATTGCTACTCCCCAAATAGAGACATTTCACTAGAAATTGTATTTACTTGGTAGTAAGTTTGATTATAAACAAGCAGAGAAAGCTTGAGAAATGGAAAGACAAATGCACGAAGATGGATAACAGGAAGCCCCATGGGTCTTGTACAAAGGGATAAGAAGGTGGCATAGTATATTCCAAATGAGTAGGTACATACAAGGGTAATTGAAAAATACACTGAATGTTTAAATTAATGAAACAAGTGTGTTTGCAGTAAGGAAGAGTGTTATAGGGGGATTAATGGCATGTGTCTTTTGCTGTAATAAATTTTAAAATTTAAATATTCTCTAATTTTGAATACTGTTCATTGATCAAATTTTTGTGGCAATTCCTATCAACTAGAAATACTACAATGTGTTCTCATCCACTTTATTCACTCGATCTAACACCATGTGACTTCTGACTTTTTCCCAAGGTCAAAATGACCACCAAAGATAAATATTTTGAACTGATTCAGGACATCAAGGCAGTTGTGACAGCTCAGCTAGAGACACAGCAGAAGGCAGTTCCAGGACTGCTTTAGAAAGCAACAAGAAAAATGGAATAAGTGTGTTTGGTGCAAGGGGGAATATTTTGAAGGAGAACAATAACAATGTGTCTTTTACTGTCGTAATTTTTTAAAAATACAAGCATTCAAGTATTTTTGCATCGTACCTCACACACAGCACTCTCCCAGGAGTATGGGGGAGGGAAGAGCTGCACCTACAGGAGTTGTCAGAGCTGCACCTACAGGAGTTGTCAGAGCAGCCACAACTCAGGAAGTGGGCTGCGATGTGTGCTGGGCATGAAGGAGATGGACTGCCCCAATGCTGCCGGCCCACTAGCCCGGAATTGAGGAGACACCAGAAAGAGCAGAGAGAAAGCCTGTCCTTTCCTGTTTTTATAGAAACGCTATGGCGGCACACCTTCAGTTTCTTAAACAGTGTGGCTTGGTGGCCATTTCTGAAAGGACAGAGCCAGAGGTCTCTGGGAGGACCACATTTAAGATCCCAGGCCCAGGAGTCAGTGATGAATGATGGGACCACAGAAGCTTTCTCTGCAGGTTAAAACTGAAAGTGCAGCTCATGGTGTAAAAGATACAGTAAAAGCTTTGCAAAGAAATTATGATTAGTATGCCATTTACACAATTTTTTAATTTTAAAAACAAAAGAATACGAAATGCCATTTTTATTAAAATAATTTTGTTTAAAAAATAAAATAGTACAAATTTACATGTAGCATTTTTTTCCTTCTTCTTCTTTTTTTTTTTTTTTTTTTGCTTCCAGTGTAAAGAAAGAACGCAACACATAATGCGTACTTTGGTCAACCCTCTACCACTTATATTTTGGCACAATAGAATGTATTCCAGTTTTAAGCCAATTATCCTGGAGATTTTTGCTTGTACAAACTTTCTGTTCTAGCCTCATATGCAAAGATACCACTTAAACTGTTTTACTGGTATTTAATTAACAGTGCATCGCAGAGAACCCAGTGAATCTAAACAAATAATCAAAAATACAAACTGAAATTGCTTCATAAATTAATAATACTTTAGAGTTTATATTTCCCTTTGCACTTTGCTGTTGCACTCTGGAAACTTACTTTTCCTCGGGCACAACTGATTGAAAACAGAAAGAGGAAAACACTCTTTGGCTAAAATATGTAGGGCTACTTGTAGAATGTTTGTCCTAGAAAAACATGGACTACTTTAAAGTTTAATTTAACATAATAAACATAAGTAA